AATGGAATTCTAAAAATGGTTTCCTTTTCTTCCTTTCATTTAAGTTTTTGACACTGCTGGAAAAGTCACATGGGGCCTACTACAACAAAGGTGTTTCCGTTACACGATGTGTCCCAGGAGAATGGACTTTTTAGCTGAGGAGGGGGGAAAGGGCAGCTTTTTCTTTTCATGCAAGTTGCATTGAAAAAAATTTTCCTAAAATTATTAAAAGTAGGTTTGAATATATATTTTTTGGTAATTGCCTTTAAAGGGATGTTATTGGTCAACTGAGTTTGCTGAAATTCTTAGGTGGATACCCATATGTCATAGATGTGAACTCAAGGTCATTTATATTAGAGAATATTTAGTTTCATGATTCATGTTTTTGAAATGCCATTTTCCCATCATGGCAATAACTATTCAATAGAAATGGAACTTTAAATTATAAGATGAATTGAATGTCTCATCAGTATTTTAATTAAAATTAAACATCTTGATTGGGCATTATTTAAATGTTCTCTGACTTTTCAAGGTGCAACATATTAATGAACCCATGCTAAGTTAAAAATAATGTAAGCTGAAAATGCTTTTAATACATCCAAGCTGCAGACTGTCACAACTTATTCCGAGTGACCTCAGTTATCCTCACTGCACATGTCTTAATCCCAGCTAACACAGAGTGGTCTATAGTAATAGTGTGAGGGAGAAGAAGAACCATCTTAACTTAGGCCTGGAAGTTTAGAGATGTGTTCTAGTTTGGTTTCTGTGTGCTGGGATAAGCATCCTAACCAAAAGCAACGTGGAAGGAAAGGGTTTATTTCGTGTTACGGGTTACAGTCCATCACCAAGGGAAGCGGAGGCAGAAGCTCAAGGCAGGAGAAGCACAAAGAAACACTGCTGTCTGCTTTACTCCCAGACTTCTGCTCAGCTACCTTTCTTATACAGCCTAGTCCCACACACCAGGGAATAGTACTAGCCATAGTGGGCTGGGCCCTACTACATTACTTAGGAATTAAAAAAAAAAAAAAATGCCCTCCAGTGTGCCCACAGACCCATGTGATAGAGGCAATTCTTCAACTGATGTTCTTTCTTCTTAGGTTTGTCAAGTTGTCAGTCAAGAATGCCTGGAAATTTCCACACTATATAGTACTAGACAGAGGGCAGTGTTTGGAAGAGGTTAAAAAGAAATCCTTAAGATCAGAGAAAAGGAAAATCATTAATAGGTGCTATTTGTGGGATTAAGATAGGTTATCTTATCATAAGGTTATCTTCCTCTTCCTCAACATAGACTCACCCTCTCTACCCAAAGTTGCTGCTCTAGGCTGAAGTATACAGTCCCCTCTAGGCTCAACTGCACTCACATGTGCCCTCTAGGTTGACCCTGGTCTACTGCCCTCTAGAGGATGCTCATGGTATGGCAAAGATAATCCCTTAGAAGAGCAGTTTCTCTTGCTGAGCAGAGTTCAGCACCAGGCTTCTCAGCAACCTTGTCAGGAACAGCGATTCATTTAGAGTTGGGTGGACCTGAGATCTGACATCATTATATGAACGATCACATATCATAGACATTTCACCACACAAAGAAACCAAAGTGCCTACTGATTTTCTCTGGCTGCTGTGGAGTATTTGAAAAAGCCCATGGCTAAAATGCTGGAGAACAGATGAATGGAAATTCAAGGAACCTCGTGTGAGAATGAGTACTTTTCTAATTGTAGTTTAGGGCTTTATTTCACTAATACCATCTACTAGGAGACAGATGGCTTGATAATCTTTGAAAACGTTCATGTATTGTATGTTTTAAATTTATATTTTTATTGTCCACTCTGAGCCCTCCTTGGTTTCTTACAGAAGGTAAGAATTAGGATAAAGTGTCCACCACAGCTCCCTCTCCCCACCACTCACTCATCCCAAAGTCTTGGGGATAGTCTGGTTTTTACCGGTGTGTGTGTGTGTGTGTGTGTGTGTGTGTGTGTGTGTGTGTGTGTGTGTGTGGTGAGAATGTGGAGAAGATCCCCCACCACTGAGATATTTTCTGTAGTATGGGAAGGAAGAAATTCTTGAGTTACAATGGTATCAATGGCTTGTTAGCCTTCTTGTCTCCATTTCTTCAATATGTTTTGTTCTTGTCAAAGACTTATTTGGGGATTGTTTGCACATCTGTACTGCATCTCTGTTAATGATGTTGGACTTGATGCATTTCATTTCCTGTATGATTGTATTCATGAAAATTTCCCATTTAATCCTGAACCATGCAGATTCAGGGGATAGCTTCAACAAAAGGATGTTGAGTTGGAAACAGCAGGTGCCTAATAAATGACCTCCCTCTCAAATTATAACCCTATCCCTATAGGTTATATAAAGAAGACTGTAGTCTCCAAGTAAAAGTGACTAGATAAATTATAACATGAAAATATCATGTTATTTGAATATACCACAGTCTAGGTAAATCCAGGTGGACATTTTAGTAAATCATAGCTAATGCCTCCAGAATACAGTTAACTTAATGATGGAAGGCACAGCTAATCTTGGGTGAACCACCTCTGTGGCATTTGCCATATGACTATCTATGAGGCTTCAACTGCTTTACAAGATGGTTCTGACAACAGCAGCAACAGCAACAACAACAATAATAATAATGCTTTGTTGAATGTCCGTAACCATCCACTCTCCTATAATGAGTCATGTGTCTATGTCACCGGGTCCTTCCCATCACTCTGTAGGAGATGCCTATGATCCCAGTCTTACAGATAAGGACACAGGTTAGTGGCTTTTAAGGACTTGCTCATGGTCAAGCTTTGGGTGAGAAGTGGAGCTGGGCATTGATCTCACCTCCAGAATGAGTCTTTGCCTGACTTCTCTCGAAGACACTCACATGTTGTAGCCACCCTTTCCTCTTCATCCTACACTGCATTTACTTCAACCTACACATGGTTCAGTCAGATACTGTTGCTTCAGACTTCTCCCAAAACCGTGCTTCCCCCAAAACTCCAGGATGCAAGGATATAAAAAGGAAAAAGGGGAAATGTTTGCCTCCCCATTATGGACATCTGTAAAATAACAAAAGTTGATGAAGTAAAAATCTCTGTGTATACATTAACTTCTCCCATTCAATTGTTTACATTTAAAGTTTGTTAGAGTTTTTACAAAAGAGTCATGTATTGTTTTTAAAAGAATGGTGTGTTTTAAACCTAATAAAATTTAACTAAGCAACTTCACAATACTTAAGAAGGAAACTAATAACTTTAAACTGTGTGTGTATTTTCACATAGACATAAGCACGGATATCATGCTAGGCAAGCACTGTACCACTAAACACAAGTCTAGACTCCTGTTTATCTACTTTTTATTTAGTTGCCTATGCTTTTGAAATTTTCATGAGCAAAAACAACCACTACTTAATAATTCTTACCTATACCACCGGGCAATTCCTCTGTATTCTCTTTTAGCAGTTTTATAATCTTGGGCATTACATTTGTTTTTAATCCACTTGAAGCTGGTGTTCTTCTGTGAGTGGAGAAAGAACTCTCTTTTCCTTTTCTTTCAAATATACCCCCCTTTCCCACCATTATTTATTGAAAAGACTCTGTTTCCCAACACACGTTTTGGGGTCCTTTTTGAAAATTTGTTGACTATAAACATATAGATTTCTTTGTGTGTTATTAATTGTTCTCTACTGATTAATGTGATTATCTTTATGAGAATCCCATACTATCTGATCACTGTAGCTTCCTGGTATATTTTAAGGACAAGCCATATGGTGCCCTCAGCCTCATTTTTTTCCTCATCTAAAGGTTGCTTTTGAGCCTTTATGTTTTAGCTCCTTCCTTTTTTAAAAATAGACACGTTAAATATTGAATATTTTAACTTATTCTTTTTATAACTGGCTATTCAGTTCATTGGTCCATTTATTAATTGGATAATTTGTTCTCTTGAAGTTTAATTTTTTTTATTCTTTATACAATCTAGCTATGAATCACCTGTCTGGTGTATACCAGGGCAAATTTTTTCTTCTCTCATTCTATAGATTATTTCTTACTCTGGTGATTGTTTCTTTTGCTGAACAGAACTTTAATTTTAATTTGCATTTATTTATTTATTTATTTGTGTGTATATATGCTTAAGTGGGCCTCAGTGGGCCTGTAGAAGTTAGGGGGCAAATGGCGGGAGTCAGTTCTCTCCTTTCAACATGTGGGTTCCAGGGGTTGAATTTAGGTCATCAGTCTACATAGCAAGCCTCTTTACCCACTGATTTATTTTGCTGGCCACTATATAGAGCTTTTGAATGTCATGTAATCCTTCTAGTTGATTTTGGGATTTATTTCTCTTCCTATTGGAACCTTTTTTAAGAAAACCCTTGCCTGTGCCTAACTCTTGAAGGAGTTTCCCTAGAAATTTCGAAGGTTCAGATCTTACATGGAAATCTAGTTCCCAACACTATTTGGTGTCTACAATGTGTGTTTTTAATACTTTGGTCAGAAATCAGCTGGCAGTAGTAGTTATGTGTATTTATTGCTAGCCCTTTGTTCAGTTTCACTGGTCTGTTTGGCTGTTTATCTGCCATTGACCATGCTACTGTATTACTATGACTCTATAACATAACTTGAGGTTAGAACTAAATGGCAAGAAAGATTACCTTAGCTGCACAAATACACGTGAGACTGAAAAATACACTCCTGAATGCCCAGCGGGTCTTTGAAGAAATAAGAGAGGAAATTAAAAAATCCATAGAATTAAATGAAAATGAAAGCACAATTTGCCAGGAACTTTGGAATACTGTTATGGGAGAAGATCCCAAATAAATTACCAAATTATGCATGTTAATATTCTAAGGGAAAAAAAGAACAATTCGAACTCAAACGCACTAGATGGGAAGAAATTAGAAATATCAGGGAAGAAATGGATCAAATGGTGGCTAAAATAGCCATGCGTTGAATCTGCCAAACAAAGAAGAGTTGTTTCACTGAAGAAATAAACAAGATTCACCCTTTTTACAATTCTTTGTTTACTATTTACCTCTGTGTTCCACAGCTTCCTTTGCGATTGTTGTTTTTATCTTTGAGGAACATCTTTGCAAATTGAACTGTAGTGCGATTATCAGAGGTGAGTGTTCTGGTGTTTTCTGGATCTGAAAATGTCTTGGATGCCACAGTGGAAATTCTGGCTTACCAGTTATCACTCTGTTTTCTTGCTTCCATTATTGCCCTGATAAGTGAGCAGTTAAGGTCATTGCTGCTTTTCTGTAGGTAACAGAAAACAAAACCAAAAATAAGCATTATCTGTTCTTTTTACGATCCTCGGGTTTACTCTTCTGTTCATTTTAAGGCTTTCTCACTGTCTTAGGTATTCTGTAGCTTAATTTTGATGCATCAAGGTATAGATTTCTTATTTGTCATGCCTGGCATTTTTTGAACTTCTTAAATCCTAGAGTTTATGTCTTTAATCAGTTCTAGAAAATTTTAGCCATTGCTTCTTTGACTTTATTACCTCATCCTCATTGGGTCTCATTGTAACCTATGGAAGACTGTCTTCATCTTCAAGACGATGAAGTATTTTCCTTACTCTGCCTAAAAAGCAAATGTTATTATATCATTGTGCTTGTAAATATATTTATTGATGCTTACTGCTTGCTTCTTTACTAAATACTATTAGCTAACCATAACTCATTGTGTCCGATTCTCTTCTAGGTGCTGAACATATGTTACTGAGTAAGAAAGAAATAGTGTAGTACAGTGGGAATGAAGGCAGTGATTATTTCAGTTCCTTCTTCATGTAATCTACCTGTGCCTTCTGGGCCTTCTCAGGCACGATCAGGAATATACAGCTTTAGACAATCTGAAATGACCCAGTGAAAACAGAGGCCTCTTTTTCCATGTCCCCTGACCCATCTCAAAGGCTTACAATGCCACCCAGCTTAGACTGGAACTTGCTGTCCTGCCATCTCAGCCCCTTGGGAGCTGGGCGTCCCAAACACGGCTTTTATCTTTCCTTTTTTTAGGGGCTACTTCTTCAACCTCAATATTGTTTTGCATATAAGAAACAAATCTGCAACATTTCTGAAATATATTTAATTTTTTCCTATATTTTGAGTTCTTCTGAATAAAGCCAGTATATTTAAAAACCTAAAGGGCAAAAACATAATTGTGGACCTGATGAAAAGGCTATAACAAAATCCACAATTGTAATATTTTGCCAAATATATAATAAAGGATAAGAAGGTATATGAATGTCAGGTTTTTTTCTGTAATCCTTAAATCTTTCCTCCTGGTACTTGGGAAAAGGCACAAGTGACCTCCCACTGTGGTCCTCGAGCTAACCTAGGCTTTTCTTCAGACATGAAATATTTGCCCTGTGTCATCTTAAGGGACAGTGTGCAGATGTGCATGTGTGTTTCTTTTGTGTTAGGCATGTACTGATCTGACCTGTTTGAGCCTTACCAGCCTTACCATGAGAAGATCATCGCTTCATGACAGCAGAACTTCAGGCCATTCGTTGGCTTCACTCATCAAAACCTTCAGCTGAGCAGGGATTTGCATGGGAGATGCAGAAGCAAAGTCTTTTCTTTCCAGGTACCTGAATTACATACTATCTTAGTTTTTGTCCTCATCTCTGTGACCAAGGACCTGACAAGAAGCAACTTAAAAGAGGGAGGGCTCAATACACATCAGGGCTTGTAATTTAAGAAGGGAAAGAGTCCATCCCAGCGGGGAACACATGGCGGCAGGAGCCTAATGTCACATCATATCCACTGTCAGGATGTCAAAGACTGGACAAGATGCAGTGTCTGACTATCCAATCTCCAAGACTGGCCCCATGATTCACTTCCCCCAGCAACACTCCACTGTCCTGAGGACTCAATGACCTTCCCAAAACAGTACCAGTAGATGGGGGCCAAGTGTTCAAAGCCATGGAGGGGACAGTTTGTATTCAGATCACAGCTCCTGGTACCGACCCACTTGCACATTATACTATTGGTGCATCACTTAAATAAAGTGGGTTTTATGTGCCTGGGTGTCAGACATCTTGACAATTGCTTAAACCCTGTATCCCCACAGAAAGCAACATGGGGTGCCCTGTGAAAACATCCTTCACCGCCCTTTCTAGCCAGTCTTCACTGAAACAACCACTTTAGGTATTTTGTTATGACAGCATGCCTTTGCCTCCCTTTGGACTTTATGTGAATACAATTGTCCATTATTTCTTTTACTTATTTTCTAATTAATAAATGCTTTTCATTTTTTACTTGATCTAATGAAAATAACTTTTAAGGCAATCCTCAAATACTTTGTTTTGGATAGAATATTTGCCTTGTTTCCTGGCAATATATAGGAGCTTGAAATATGCATGTAAGAGCATAGGTTTCACGGTAAATCACATTAGGTTTCATACGGCCATTCCAAGTCAGGAAGTGTTTTAACCTTTTCTATTTATGTTGAGTTGACCGTAGCGTCCAGCTGAGCAACTTAACTAAAAAAGACATGAACTTTCGAGCCCAAAGGGCTTTCAGCAATCTCCTAACTGCTCCACTGTCATTGGGCACCTGCTCTCGAGCAGTGGTTGTGCTAGATGGACCTTGATGATAGAGCCAGGAATCAGGTGGACAAGCTGTCTGAAGAATTCACAGCTAGACAGACAGAAAGAAGATAGACAATAACGACAATGGCATGTGATGAGCTGTCTGATGTGGGAGGTCATGAGATACTTGTTAATCCGACACTGTCAGGACGTCACGGAAGACAGCCTTGAACAATGGATGCTTAGGTGAGGATGGGAAGAATAAACAGGAGGCAGCCGGTGAAAAAGGCAGAGCAGAAGAAAGGAGAGAGGAGAAGGGGAAGATTGATCCAGAGAGACCAGAATGGGCCATAGTAGGGAGGTGACACTGTTAATACTCCAGGGAACTGACAGACGCTTAGTAATGACTGAAAGTGGTCAAAATGGGGGAAAAATAGCAAAAGTAGCAGGAACCTCACAGCCAGGTAGAAGCCTCTAATTTGTTCTGATATCACAAGAGGCCCCTGAAGGGTTTCAAGTGTGCTGCTTGAAACTTTAATTGAAACACAATTAAACCTGCAGAAATTTCTCCCATGTTGTGGATGGTGGGCTAGGAAGAAGCGAGACTGGAGCCATGGAGATGTCTTGGAAGTCATTGTTTGAAATGAGGTGATAGAGCTGGTGAGAAGGAGATTGGATTAAGAGATATTTTAAAAATAATTACATCAAATTTTGGTAAGCAGTAATGGACATTGAGGAGAAAGATATCTAAAACGTTTTTCACAGGTTACTATTGTAAGCAACCAGTCATTTGGTGGTACTGTTTCCAGAAAGGAGGAATGCCCACGAGGAACACGTCAGTGTGTGTGTGTGTGTGTGTGTGTGTGTGTGTGTGTGTGTGTGTGTG